GGCCTCTGCAAGGCTGGAGCAGCCCCCTGAGGGAGGTGGACAGGGAGCTGCCGGTACCAGTTAACCGGAACTTGTAAGCCATTTACTTCCCTAATCTGACCGAGCTTTGAGATTGGCTTCCTCACTCCCCTAGAGTCAGTCCCTCCAGATGAGTTTTGAGGCATGTGGGCAAACTGGCATGGAGAAGAGCTTGCAGTGCATTTGTTCTGTGGAACTCAGACTCTTGTACTAGCATCTTCAGTGGCTGTGAATGCTCACACATTGTGTGGGTGCACTTGTAAGAATACAATAAAAACATCCAGTAAGCTCCTGTCTGGCCGTGACACAGTTGGGGAGGGGCATAGCTATAAGCAAGTGTCTGTCTTGGAAATTGCTAACAGATGCACAGGGGAACTGGTGGCTCTTGTTAATGACTTTACAAATTGGCTTAGTCAGTGAAACTTCCTGCTGCAGTTGTTTGCTCGTGTTAAGTCTGGTGGTGATTATCTGTGTAGAAGGAGCTTCTAGGGGAGTTGGCCCAGGAAAGCTCATGAGACCATTTACAGGTTTTATTAGTCTTTAAAATGCCACTTGTTGTTTTTTAAGTTTATGCTGTACAGACTAACTCGGCTACCACTCCGAAGTTCTAGGGGAGAGTTAGGCTGTGCCTGACCCTGCTGCTTATCAGTGCTGTTTCACACACAGAGGAGTGGTGTTTGTTTGGTGGTATGATTATAATATTGGGGGGGGGTGGGTTTGTGTGTTGTGAGGTATCAGGAATTCCTGGTGGGGAAGGATTCACTTAAGCCTCACAGCAAATCAGGGAGTTCTCTCTGGTCTATCTCCATGAGATTTAACTTCCAGGCCTGCCGAAAAGCATAGAATTCCTGTGCGGCTAGAAGTAGACTTGCTTGAAAGAAAGCGCTGCTGCTTTTTCCATGATTTCCTCTCCTCCAGATTGTGCTGTATCTGCCCTTTGGGTGGGTTTATCACAGTAGTTCCTGTCTTGTTATCCAACTTCAGCGTGAATAATGCTGCTCCCGCTATTTGGTTTCTCTCTTGTTTACAGCTTAGTCATTTTTGTGTGAGTAACTAAATATTTAAACGAGATATAAGCGACTAGTCGACTATCTGATCAGCATAAGGTTATTGGATAGTCAGCTAGTCCCTCAACTAGTGGCTCCCCCCACCCTTGCTAGAAGCAGCCAGAAGGGGTGAGTGTGGAGGGGAGAGACAGCTTAAAAGCCAGTTCCCCCCTAGCGCTGTCTCTGCAGGAGGCAGGGGGTAGCAGGGACTGGGCATGAGGTATAAATCAGCTGATTCCTGGTTTGTGCCCAGTCCCAGGACACTGCGCCTCTGCTTTTTAAATGTATTAAGAACCCGGTGCAAAGCACGGGAGACACAATGCGAGCCAGGACTGCTGATTCCCAGCTTGCACTGGGTCCCCCACTGCACTTCAACCTTGTTAACGTATGAAGAGCCTGCCAGCTCTTCATACTTCTAAAAGGCAGAGCCGCAGCAGGGTTAGCTCCTGGGGCTGGGAGCTGACCCCACTGCAGCTCCCCTGCTTAGCGACTAATCAGCTAGTTGCTTAGACTAAATGTAACGTCCCTAATTTAAACTTAGTCCGTTATGATTCCCATGTGCCTAAAGGTTTTCAGGTGGGATCTGAACTTGTGTAATTCCCTGGTACCACTTGCTGCCACGTGGTGCAGCTCCCCCGTACATTGGTGGGGTTTTCCATCACTAGAGTGATTGACTGTGTTGGTGGTGACCACGGTTCCATTGACCCGTTGTTCCACGTGGTTGTATCGATCAGAATGTCATGCAGATTTGTTAAGGTTCCTTTACACGGCCCGAAGTAGTGTGGCCTTGTAAATGGATGATTGTAAGTGATCAGAACTGGTCTGAATTTTTGGACTTAAAAAAAAAATCCTATCCAGTCGCTTTCTGGAGATGTTTATTTGCCAGAGTAAATTGTGAGCTGGTTCCCAGCCCTGACTTGCTCTTTATTTGCCTGCGAGGTAACACTGAGCAGCTGGCTGCATAGATTTGTTGACTAATAACTAGAAATAAACGGTCAAACTTAGTTACATTGCTCTAGGCAAGGGGGCTTGGGGATTTCCTCCAATGCTCCCTACACCCATTCTCCATCCACTGTATCCTAGTTTAAATAAATTACCAAAATGATTGAAACCAGAGTGATTATAGGGTGGTGTTTTGGCAAAATATGCAGAATTTTAAAATTTGTGCAGAATTTTTCATTTTTTGCAGGACACAGTCCTTCAACCTTTTAACTCCTTCGGCTCCTGTAGCAACCTAAAGGAGCTTCCTGTGTGCAGGAACTGCTGGGCTAGGCCATGGAGTTGTGCAGACTGTTTGGCACACATCCATATTGCTGCAGCAAAAGTTTCTTTTTTTGTCTTGAAAGAAGGAAGGAAGCAAACCTACAAATGTGAAAGCGAAGGTTCTGAAACCAGCATTAACGCCTTCCATTGTGCGTGTTGCATGGTGTTGCACATCAGACAGCTATGCCAAGAATTTAAATTGGGGAGTTCCCGCAAACCCTACCTATCCTCCTCCTCCTCCTCCTCTGTCTGCTTGATTTCACCTTCAAGTCTTTGCACAATCTCATCTCTGCTTGCTCTGTATCTTTGCTTTTGTTCCCTCCTCCCAATCCTCTGTCCGTGCGATTTTCTGTATCTGCACCTCAGTTTCACACCACCTTGCTGGCCGGCTCTTGCACCGCAACCATCGTCTTCTGTCCAACGTCCACTGAAGACACGATACTTCTTCAAATCCTTCTTACGAAGCGTATAGGTCTGCTCGTTTCCCGAGCCCATCATTTTAGCCAATTGTATTGTAAGTTCCTCAGGACACGTATTGTGCCTTACTGTTTTGAAACGTGCAGGGGATGTTTCTGACAGTGCAGTGGCTGTGGCAGGAAGCCGGCAGCTGTGGGGAAGGTGTGTGATGCAGAGCAAGGATGGTTTCTCCTCTTAATGTGTTCTCCACCTAGAAGACCTTTTTCCTCTTAATGGGCTCAAACTAGGATTTGTGCAGAGGCTTATGTTTAAAGCGCCTATTCTCTGTCAGATTATTGGACTAGCTGACTAGTAGTAAAGCTGTAATTTTGTGTTGAATGACTGTGGGAAATCAGAGAGCACCTCTGGATTTATTGGATATTGTAACAGGTATCCAGTGCTTGGCTGTGCATCGCTGGTCAACTTCCTTTCTGCAGACTCGTGCTGTCAACCAGCCCAGGTGGGGTGTCTTGGCTCTGAGGTTATGGAAGGCAGAGGCAAAATAGGGTCTAGTACAGAGGGGCTCTGTAGGCGAAACGCATCCGAGTAGCTTGTCTCAGGAGGAAGCTGAGCTGAGGTTTGTTGTTCAACGAGAGCTCGGGGAAGGGGTCAGCGTGGGCCTTACCGAGTGTGTGCCAACAGATACTGTAGTGCTTTGTCATAGCCTCGGGTTGGGACAGGTGTCTCGCTCGCCCTCCTTGTTGTGAGGCTGTGTTGGGTAGTGGTTGGTGGGCAGGTGTGAATCTCCAGAGGTCAGCATCTACTCCTGACTGCTCTGCATAGTGTCTGTTGCCTCTGGCCACACAGGCTTGATTTATGTTAGGTCCCTGAACCTGCCAATGCAGCCTTTGTTGGAGAGAGGCAGTACATACCTT